ACGGGCCACGTTTCCTGCCGTGAGGGTGTTTAGCGGGCGGGCAGGGCTGCAATCTTAGCGGAGGCAGGCTGGCACCGTTGGAGAGCTAGCGAGACCCGCTTGACGCCAGGCAGAGCAGCACCCCCGGAGCAGGTGGGACGGGATCCCAGGCAGGTGACATTTTATTGCCTGCTTTCCAAGTTGGGCCATTTCTCTTCATTTAAAAAAGGAGCTCAAGGGGACGCAAATCACCGCGCTTCCTAAATTCCCAAATGAAGGGGATTCGTCTCCAACAGAGATCAGCTGCCAGGCCAGACGGATCCTGGCTGCGGCCTCTGGTTCACCGGCTCTGCCTTCCTGGCGGGGGGGAGGTGGGGAGGTGGGCTTTGAAGAGGGCTGAAAGGTGGAGGGTTTGTCATGGCCATCCACAGAAGGAAAAAAAGCACAACTCCTCCTGTCTGTCTTCTCTCTCTCTCTTCTCTTCTCTCTCTCCCTCCCCCTCTCTCCCCCCCCCCCCCCCCCTCCCCCCCCCTCCAGGATACTCTGGCACGGACACCAAACGCGTCACCATCAACAAAGTCCTTTCTAATGACATTATGGTGCAGGAGAACCAATACGTGCAGGTGAGGCTTTGCAGGCAGGCGTGTGCGTGTGCGTGTGCGTGTGTGTGTGTGTGTGTGTGTGTGTGTGTGTGTTGGTGGTGAGACCTTGCTTTCCATCTGCTACTCTAAATCCCTTTATGATTTGTTTCTAACTTGAGTGGCTTAAAATGGATTCGACAAAACCATGATCGGAACAAAAGAAGAGGATAACAGAGTTGGAAGGGACCTTTGGAGGTCTTCTAGTCCAACCCCTTGCTTAGGCAGGAAACCCTACACCACTTCGGACAAATGGTTGTCCAATCCCTTCTTTAAAATTTCCAGTGTTGGAGCATTCACAACTTCTGGAGTCAAGTTGTTCCACTGGTTAATTGTTCTAACTCTCAGGAATTTCCTCCTTAGTTCTAAGTTGCTTCTCATCCTGCCTTCTGGTGCATTGGAGCATAGCTTGACTCCCTCTTCTTTGGGGCAGCCCCTCAGATATTGGAGCGCTACCATCACGTTGCCCCTTAGTCCTTCCATGGTTTTTTTTTTCAATATATCTCAGAAATTTGGGGAGCACAGAATATGTCCTGATTTCTAAAAATCTAGGATACAGCAGGGATTTGGCTGTCTGGTCTTAAGGTCTTTTGCACCTATCTTAAAGGTGTTTTTTTTCTGGAAAAAGACTGGAATTTTGTAGATAAAGTCTAGGGGATAGTGTTGCAAGTGAGATGGATTAATGCATTTTGGGTCAGTTCCCCCGCCCTGGTGCTGTCCTGTCCGGCGCTCCGTCCAGTAGCCTCAATGCTTCCCTGACCTCCTTCCTTGTGAGGAGGGGCCATCTTGTAGCCCCCCAGTAAGTCCAAGGTGAAGAAGTTTTGAACACAAACTGTACGGTTGGCCTTCCAGCCATCGAGGGAGATCTTAATACAGTCCCCGATTTATAACAGGTTTCGTTTAGCGATCGTTCAAAGTTACGATGCTGAAAAAGTGTCTTGCAGCTGTTTTTCACACTTATGACCATTGCAACATCCCGCACGGTCACCTGATCAGAATCCAGACCCTTGGCCAATGACTCACATTGATGACGGTTGGCAGCGTCCCGGGGTCACCTTTGCAACTTTCTGACAAGCCAAGTCAATGGAGGGGAAGCCAGATTCGCTGAACTATCTACTATCAATTCCAATGATTCACTTAACAACGGTGGCAAGGAAAGTCGTAAATTGGGGGCAGAACTGATTGAACAAATGTCTCATTTAGCAGCATAAATTTTTCGATGTGATTGTGGTCATAAGTCAAGGATTACCTGTAGTTTCTCATACATTTTTTTTTTTGGTTGGTTGGTTGGATTTCTCCATCTTATGATCTTATGATGTGTCCTTCATGCTGGGGCTTCCTGGGATGGAAGGTGCCCCCCCTTTAGAGGCCCCTGAGGACACCATCTGGCAGAGAAAGGGATGGCTCTTTGGAGGTGGGGGGAGCTCCTAATTCTTGGTCTGGCCTCTGCTTTTCCCCCCAGAGGTGCATCGACTGGAACCGCGACATCCTGAAGAAAGAACTGGGCCTGAAAGAAAAGGACATCGTGGATCTACCTGCCCTCTTCAAGATAGACAAAGGAGGGAAAGCCATGGCTTATTTTCCCAACATGGTGAGCACGGGGGCTGCTCTCCAAGCCCCCAGGCCCAAAAAGCCTGTGGAAACATCAGTTAATGCCTTCCTTTGCCCCCTCTTCATTTTTTTTTTAAATTTGCAGAGATTTTAAACTTTCCTTCTCGCCAAACCGACCATTTGCATTCATCTGTCGTGGTTAGCCGGCAGCAGGTGCAGACGGCGGAGAACGGGGGGTGGGGTACTCAGATGAGGGGCCAGGACCCTTAGGGAGGGGACTGCTTGCCTTCGGAGATTGCGGGGGGCTGCAGCCGTGATGAGGAGGTTCCCGAGGAGCCTGTGCTAAGTGTGCGTGCACGGAGGATTGCTTGTGGGAAAGAGCAACTCCAACAGCACGGGCGACTCGGGAGAAAGGCTGCAAGGGTTGGGGAAGTGGAATGTTCTTTGCAGGAAGCAAAGACGTTTTGAAACCCCAGCCTCTTGGACATTCCAGTATCCCGAGTTTGTATTTGAAGATTCTTGTATTGCAAATTATTTCTTGTCTGCTGTCTTTTGGCCATCTCACAGTTTGTGGCAAGGCTTGTGCTTATCGCAGATAATTATTTTGCAGAAACATTACAAGGTTTCTGTTCCCTTTGGGTTTGGTTTGATTTGTTGGAAAAGGGCCCAGGGGTCACAACATCACCCCCTGTTGCTTTTCTGCCTCCTTCCATTGTCTGGGAGGGCCAGATGATAGCAACAGCACTTAGACTTATATACCGCTTCACAGAGCTTTACAGCCCTCTCCAAGGGATTTTAAAAAACCAGCATATTGCCCCTCACAACCTGGGTTCTCATTGGACCAAAGGATGGAGGATTGAGTCAACTTTGAGCCAGTCAGAATCGAACTGCTGCCAATGGGCAGAATTAGCCTGCAATACTGCATTCTGACCACTGCGCCACCACAGCTCTTAAGGGCACATCCTGCCATGTGCCAAAAGACCCCCAAATCCTCACCCACCCACCCCACTTAAAAACTCACCCCGGGCTTCACTTTTCTTTAGTACGGTGCACTTAGCACATTGTTTTGCAAGAGAAATAAAAATAAAAAACCGCCCAGCCGTGAGCCCTTTCACTTTTACCTTCTCAGGTGAACATGATTGTCCTCTCCAGGGACCTGGGCATCCCCAAGCCTTTTGGGCCCATCATCGAAGGCGAGTGTTGCTTGGAGCAGTATGTCTCCTCTTTGCTGGAGCCCCTGGGGCTGGCCTGCACCTTCATCGACGACATCTCCTCGTACCACAAGCACCTGGGAGAAGTCCACTGCGGCACCAACGTCCAGCGGAAGCCGTTTGCCTTCAAGTGGTGGAACATGGTCCCGTGAAACGGGGGGGCTGCCGCTCCCCCCGGGAAGTCAAGAGGGGTTTCAGACACACACTTTGACCCTCTGGCCGTCTGGCTTGACCCGCAAAAGAATCTGGGCGTCTCTTTGCACGCCCGCTTGAGAAACTAGGCGAGTCAGCAGGCGGTGTGGGGGAAAAATTGTTGGTCTGAACGCTGCAGGGAAGAAGCATGCTGTGTCGATTGGACCCAAGGAGCATTGCAGGGCCCAGTCGGGTGTCTTGACAACTTTTGCGTGTGGTGTGCGTTTTCTTTGTCCTCTCTAAATTAACCTTCAACGTCCCGCTTTTCTTCCTTCCTTCCTTCCCCTAATGTAGCCAAGACAAAGCCCCTTCTGCAGGGGTGTGAGGGGTGTGTGTTTTTACAGCCTCGGCTTTTGTTGCGGTGGGGGGCACTTTGGAACAACAGGAATAAAAACGAGGCGACAACGTTTGCGGCGTGACCATGTTTGCAGTGTGTGGGCCAGGAGGCGTTTTGCGGAGTGTGATGTCCTTTCTTGCAACGATTTGATATTTTTATTATTCCTTGAACGTCATTTGCCGCTACTATTAAGACTCCTTGACCGCCCCACCGCCAAAAAAATAATAATAATCACGCACCATTCATACAGCCAGAATAATGACTTGGGGGGAAGTTGAGCGGTGGGGGTTTGGGGTTGAATTAAAAGCTCTGCCGCTTTGGATTGGAAGGAGACACAGTTGTTTTCTGGAGAGATGATTGTTTGGCGTGGAAAAGAACCAAGGGCATTGGGAGGAAGTCACAGAGAGGCCGAAGACACGGATGCTTTCAGCAGCGGGAAAAAATCCCCTAAACTTGGTTAATTTAACGTTGGGTAGCTCTCTCTCATGCTGCACGAATCTTGTCCCGTTTGAGGGTTTGAAGTTTAGTGCAATGGTAGAAAATGAGATGATTCAACAACCAGGCAAAATGTCTTGTGCGAATGCAGCCAACCCTGCAGGCCTTGAACAAAAAAGGGTGTTGCTGGATAAAACCCGTGAAATTTCCCTTTCCTTCCGACAACCGACATCTCGGCCAAAATTAAGCCAGTGCCTTAATTTTGGGGGGTGCCAGGAAGAGACAGCGGGACAACAGGGGACGAAGTGCAGCACCGCTTGGTCCTGGCTCCGCCTTCCAGCCTCCCCCACCCCAAATTCATAAAAGATTTAAGTGTTGCGAGAAAGCTCCGTTCATTAGCCAAACTTTTTAATTACAGACTTTTAACGGAAGAGCCACCGTTGAAAGGTTTACATAAAATGGTTTACCTCTGGCAAGGGAGACCCCGCACAACCATCCCCCTGCCCAAACTTCCATCAAAGAGCATTTTCCTCCACAGACAAACACCCTTTAAACCCCCACCCAGCAGGGACACCCCCCCCCACAAAAAAAAATCCCACACATGGCATGAATTAAGCCAACACTGCCCTCTTGTGGCCATCTTTGAATGTCACACGTTTGGATCAAAAAGATTGCTGTGTTTTAAGCACCAAGTCTGCCCTTTGTGGATTCCTTCCCAACGCTTGTATTGTGAAACGGAAGCGGGGAGGTTTTGCACCCAAGACAGCTTCACTTAACCACACGGTGGGCTTTCGACTGGTCAGCACAACCCTTGTTGGCTCTAGAGGCTTCCCAGAACAGGGATTGATTAATCCAGCAGCCAGGTGCAACAGGTTGCATTGAATGCCACCTCGACCCTCCGTCTCTGTAGGTGCAGGCTGGCAAGTGCAGAACCGTTTAGCACTGCAAACAGCCAATAATTCTAATTTTGCCCCCCACCCCTTTTATAAATAACACGCGCATCCTGTGCGAGTCACGACACAAACCTCCCGGCGAGAATGAAGACCTGTAAGCCCCGTTTTATTTTAATGACTGGTCCGCTTATTCCCTTCGCTTTCATGCCCGGTTTACGAGCAGGAATCGAAACCAGCTAAGATGCTTGGCGTTCCTTCCCTCCCTCCCTCTCTCCCTAGTTTTGCAAAAAATGACAGGATGGGGAACTTTGGGGAAAAGCATGCAAATAACAAAAAACAGCCCGAATAAGGCTGACAAAAAGACACCAGACATCCCTGCATCTTAAAACACACCCTGTCCAGTATATCCTTCCTTTTTTTTGCATCTAAGAAGTGGCGAATGTCGTAGATCCCCGAGGAGAGAGTCCCAAGGCCGTCGTCCACAGAGCCGCTTCCCACGCTCTGCCCTAGAGGAAGGCTCACACCAGCCCGACTCCCCCCCGATTTGTTCACTCCAGGAGGCTCGGGACGATATATCCCTTCTGCCCGCGGTCGGAACTAATTCCGCCGTTCTGCACTTGGGAACGTACGCGGCCGGGAGAGCCCTCAGATGCGGATGGTGTTGATCCGAAGCGGCTGCACGTTCTTCCCGTTGGCGTGGCTCTGTCCGGGGCTGAAGTAGGAGCAGAGTTTCCCGGGGAACTTTTCGCGGAAGGTGTAAAGCCAGGACATGTCGTCGGCGTTGTAGAAAATGAGCAGCCCCTTGGCGTAATCCAAGAAGACCCCGACTTTCTCCAGCTTGCTCTTGACGTTCAGCCGCGTCCAGGGCTCGGTGCAGGCGCTGTACTGGTTGCCGTCGTGCATGACGATGCAGTAGAAGCCGTGGCTGGGCTGGATCTGGATGTTGCCCTTGCGGGTGACGGCCTCGTGGGCCAGCCCGATCATCCACTGGGTCTTCTCCGAGACCACCACCTCCCAGTAGTGGATGCCGCTGTTGAAGGCCTCCGAGCCCAGCACCGACACCTCCACGTCGAAGCGCTTGGGCGAGTCCTGCAGCGGCTGCGGGTGCAAGTTGCCGTAGGAGACGAGGGTGCAGTCGTCGGAGAGGATCAGGCGCTGGTGAGCGGTGGCCGGGTCCAGGGTCAGCGTGGCAGGCACTACGGAGGGAGGGAAGGAGAAGCCGGTCACTTGGTGGGGAAGAGCCAAGGTGATCCCTAGGGAGTAGGGTAGCTTGGTGTTCTGGAAGGGGGTCACCACAAAAAAGGCCATGCCAAATGGGATAAATATGGGGACTGAAGCTGCTGTCAAGGCTCTGACACTACACCCCCATTCAAATCATAAGTCTCTAGCCGCATATCTCAGAGTAAAAGAAAACAATTAGGAGTGACCATGTCGGCGTAACCTGGGTGCAGCCGACACTTAAGATACATCATTCATTTCACCCTTGACCCTGGTCTTCCTCCCACCCTCTGGATGTATATTCTCCAATGGGACACATCCATAGCCAACAGTCATCAATCTTGCTCTCCAGTAATAATCTTGCACACCAACAGCTTCGGCTGCCTGCAATTATCTGAAGCATTTAAGGAATGAGCTACTTTCCCTCTCCCTTTTTTTGCCGGCAACTAAAAAGACCAAAGAAGTTTTTTTTTAAAAAAAGTTGACAGTCCTTTTGGGGGGGGGGGGGTGTTATGTTGCCCTTTGGAGGTTTGAAGGCCTTGGAGTGGATCTCCCCAGCACCTACCTGGGCCAGGAGATGACTCACCTGGCTGGATATCCTGGAAGAGGGATTTCCAGATGGTGTACTGCAGAGGCCCCATGTACTTGGAAGTGGGGAAGTCCTCGTAGGTGAGGCTAGTTTCGTGGATCTTCCCCTTCAGCCTTGGTGGGGGGGAGAGAGAGACTGAGGTTAGCCACTGCTATGTCCTTTGCCCCATGCCCTGGCTCTGCCCACCGCTTCCACCCACCTCTCCGAGAGAGAGGCTATGCCTGCCAGGAAGGTGTGCTTGTCAGTTTCTGCCAGCCGTTCCTGCAGGATCTGGCTACCTTCCTGCACCTTGCGCAGCTGCAGGCCGTAGCGCTGGATCTTCTGCTCAATGTCGTTCAGCGTCCGGGCCGTGTCGGCCTCCAGCTCCTCCAGCATGGCCTTCTGGCGTTCACGGAGCAGCCGGTGAAGCCGCTCAAAGGCCTCGCCGATGGTGGCCCGTAAGCTCTTGGCCGAGGACTGGAAGACAGGAAGGCTGGCATTGAGCGGGTCGTGGTAACGGGATGGAAATACCCAGGGAGGAGCCCCTGCCTGGCCCTTACCTTAGTCTCAGCCAGCTGGTGCTTCAGCAGAGCCAGGGCCTCCGTGTGCCCACGCTCGCTGTCCTGGAGGGTCTGCAGCTGCTCCTTTAGTTCCCTCTGGAATGAGACCGGCATTGGAACGAGGGTCTTGCGGCAGTGCCTGGGCAGCCCGCAACTTGATCCAGGCAGGAGAGGGTGGAGACCGTGGGGCCCTTCCTCCCAGCCCCAGTGGGCACCCACCCCACACCGGGAGCATCTGGGAGCATCCACCATGGAGAAGCAGGAAGCCCTTTCGCCCTACAGCTACTCTGCAATGGGGTCAGAGCAGGGCTCCAGTTGGCCCCCATCCCAGGGAGGCAGGAGTGCCCTTTGGCCAACCTGGCACCCACCCCAGAGACATAGTAGACCCCAGCTGCCCCCATCCTGAGGAAGCAAGCAGACCCTTTGCATGGGGGGCCGGGGAAGCAAAGCCCATGACCAGCTTGGCACCACCCTGGGACCAGAGAAGACCCCGCCCAACTGCCCCCATGCCAGCCTGGCACCCACCCGGAAGTCAGAGGAGACCCCCCCGTCAGCTGCCCCCATGCCAGCCTGGCACCCACCCGGAAGTCAGAGGAGACCCCCCCGTCAGCTGCCCCCATGCCAGCCTGGCACCCACCCGGAAGTCAGAGGAGAACCCCCCCCCGTCAGCTGCCCCCATGCCAGCCTGGCACCCACCCGGAAGCCAGAGGAGACCCCCCACCCATCAGCTGCCCCCATGCCAGCCTGGCACCCATCTTGGGGAGGGCAGGGAGCTCCCCCCCATATGGCTTGACACGGGGGGGGGGGAGAGACCGTTGCCACACACCCCCGTCCCCCTCCGACCTGCATCTCCTCGAAGGCCTCGTCTAGGCCGGTGACCTGGTGCTGCTCGTGCAGGGCGGGCCGGTCGCAGAAGAAGCAGACGACGGCGCGGTCGGTCAGGCAGAAGAGCCGCACTTTGGCGTGGGCTTTCCCGCAAGGCGGCGTCCCTCCGCCTCGGCCTCCCCTCCCGCCGACGCCCAGGGAGGCCTCGGGCGGGAAGGCGGCGAAGCGCTCGACGATGTTAGCCAGCTTGAGGCTGGGCGCCAGAGCCGGCGCGGAGAAAGCCCGGCGGCACTCGGGGCAATCCCGGGCGGGCGCCGCCTGCGCCTCCTGCCGGCTCCAGTGCTCGGAGATGCAGCGGCGGCAGAAGTAGTGCTCGCAGCCGAAGCTCACCGGCTCCTGGTAGAGGCCCAGGCAGATCGGGCACAGCAGCTCGTCTTTCAGGCTGCAGCCCGGAGCCGGAACGGCCATGGCGGCGCTTTCGGGAGGGGCAAGTTAGGCCGGAAAACAAAGCGGACCGTTTAGGGCGGGGAAACGCTTCTACGGGAAGAAGAAGGAAAAGGCTTCCGCTCACTTCCGGGGTCCGGGCCCGGAAGCGGCGCCTGGCTTTCTTTGCCTCTGCGGGGGAGGCTGTTCTAGGCCGCGCGCGCCTCTCTATGGTGGACCCATGACGTCAGGGAGAATGGCCCGCGCGCGCCCAGTTCAAAGCTTGGCGAGGCCAGTTTCCCCTTGTCTCTGGCGAGGAGGCCCGCTCTAGGCCGCGCGCGCCTGTCGATGGTGGGCCCGTGACGTCAGGGAGAATTTTCCCGCACGCGCCCAGTTCAAAGCTCGGCGAGGCCAGAGTTTCCCCTTGTCTCTAGCGAGGAGGCCGCTCTAGGCCGCGCGCGCGCCTTTCGTGACGTCAGAGAGGGTAGTCCGCGCGCGCGCGCCCGGCCCCTGGGCCCCTTTTTTTGGCGCGGCGACAGAGGCGCTCGTCGGACTTTCCCTGTCTCGGCGAAGGAGGCCGCGCCGTCCTCGATAGTGGGTTTGTGACGCCGGGGGGGTGGGGGGGGCGCGGTCGCCTGTTCTTGGCCCTTGGCGCGGCGAGGGGGCTTGTCGCATTTCCTGTTTCTGAAAGGCCGCTCTAGGTCGCGCCGTCCTCGGTGGTGGATTTGTGACGTCAGAGGGTGGGCTCCGCGCGCGCGGGCGCGCGGCCTGCCGTGGCGCCTGCGCGTTGAGGCGCTCCTCGGACCGCCGCCTTTTTTTTTGTCGCTCTGAGGGGGGAAATGGAGCCCGGCGGTGGCCGCCGCGAGAAGCTCCCGCCGCCGCCGCCGCTGGTGCTGCCGCCTGCCAAAGGCAAGGAGGGCCCCGGGTCCAGCGGCGTCGGAGGCAACGCCCGCCTGGAGAAAGCCAAGCAGCGCTCGGCTCAGCAGGAGCTGAAGCAGCGGCAGCGCGCCGAGGTGGGCGGAGGTCTCTGAGGGAGACCCCTGAGGCGGGGGGGGGGGCAATTAAAAGGGTCTGGGGGGCCTACAAAGCTCCCTTTCCTCGGTCTCTGAGCTCCCCCACAGGGAATGAAGCCCCCTTGATGGAGTGGTGAGAGCGGGAGAAGCACCCGCGCTTGGGGAACTCCCCGCCACTGCTGCGTCTAACTTAGGGGCCTCCTAAGGAGAGATTTGGGGTGGGGTGGGGGGAAAGCTTATAGGCCTCGTTGCTACTTGCCGAGCCCCTCCCTCCATTTGGGCTTTTTCCCTTGTTTTTCAGGCAAGTGTGTCCTGAATCCAGGCAGTCCTCGATTTACGACCCCCTATTCAGCCCGGTATTGTTTCCGTTGCTAAGCGAGACACCTCGGTGCATTTTGCACACCACCCCCCCCACCCCGTTTGGACGACCTTTTCTTGCCCCCGTGGTTAAGGCAATCGCTGCAATTGGTTAAGTTACTTGCAGGGTTGATAAATTGAGGTTAAATTGAGTCCGGCTTCCCCCATTGACTTGGCCGGTCAGAAAGTCGCAAAACGGGATCGCTTACGACCGTCCTAAACAAGGAACCAGTTTGCAAAACGTCTGAATTTTGATCACATGACCACAGGGGAGGCTACCAGGATCCTAAATCCCCCTTTTTTCAGTTGCTGTTGCAACTTCGAACGGACGCTGAATGGTTGTAAGTCAAGGATTACCTGTATTACAGGTGGGATAAAGGTCAAATAAGTCACTTTTTACGTAGGCGTGGGGGACTTCTTTTCTCTTGACTCTGAAACGGCTGGCAAGGCGAGCTTCCTTTTTCTGTGGGACGGAGTCCCATTGGCAGCTTTCCATTTGTCTGTCCCCCAGTGTTTTCCAAAAAATGTCAATATTGACACCCTCCCCAGGGGTCATCAGTGGGACCATGTAAGTTATTATCGTTCATTGCACAATCAGGCAAATGTTTAGCCTGGGTTTGGCATTTTTTCCCATGTATTGAGTCTTTCCCAAGGACCTAGGATCGGTGGATATTGTCGTTTGGATTATTGTTATTTTAAGATTTAATCTACAATTCGATTCGCAATCTGGGTAAAAGCTTAACAGTCCAAGTCCTAACCAAGGACCTAGGAGCTATTAAGGTAATGTCTGAGTATATAGGCAGTTGCAATTGGGGGTAGTCTTTTTTTTGTAAAGTCAAGATATTTAGGTCTAATAAGTTCAAAATGTCCACATATCTAGGCAACTCTTTGGGGATTGCTCCATGGTCTCCTATTACTATTGACACAGCCATTTATTTCTTCCTCCACAATCGCTCAACTTCAATTTGCAGATAGTGGCATTTCGTGATTTTTTTTTCTACTTGTTTCTCTTCAATTCGTGCATCTCCTGGTACTGCAATATCAATGAACTACGCTTTTTTCTTTTCCACAATAGAGGTGTCAGGCATCTTGTGGGCCAGATGTCTGTCTGTTTGGATCCAAAAGTCCCACAGGATCTTGACCTGTTCATTTTGAAGAACTTTGTTATTGTTATTATTGTTGTTAAAATTGCATCAGATTATTTTCCTATAATGCTGGGGGGTGGATGAACAATTTCACAAAGTGATTGATGAGTTTGGGAACAATGACTTAACCTCTGCTTTGGTCTGTAGATCTATGCCCTCAACCGGGTGATGACAGAACTGGAGCAGCAACAGTTTGATGCCTTCTGCAAGCAGATGAGGGCTTCCAGTGAGTGACCCCTGCAGACAGCCAGATCTTTGCTCCCCACACAAGACTTCACTCCAGGTCTGGATGCTGGACCACGGTCAGTGGTCTGTTAAGCCACGGTGGGAAGTCCCCAGACCCTTTTTTCCTCTGTGCTACGGCAGTGCCTCTCAGCCACTTCTAAGTCCTTGCCAAAATGGAGTTTCTCATTGTTTGAACTGGTTTTTTTTAAATCCTATTTATTAAATAAAATGTGTGTTTTATATGTGTGCAAATAAATACCTGTGAGACCAAAGGCCAGTGCAGATGTGGTCTTATGATAATTCCAGGAAATCCAAAAGCCAGAAAAATGGTTTTTCTCCCCTTCCTCCTTCCCCCAAAACAGAGATTCGGGGTATGCTGCCTCTTCACATGGAAGTGTAGCTTGTAAGTCTCCGATGGGTGAAGAGTCTTAAGGCTCTTGATTGTTTGGTGTGGCATAAAGTTGTTCAAGTAATTTCCTTTTTGCACAGAAATGTCCTTTTGTATATCAGACACTTGGTGATTCTCCCTCCCTCCTTGCTCAAGGTTTACAAAAAAGAGAACAAAAAAACCTCCTCCCTTCTGTTGTCGACACACAGCTGACTTTCTCAGTCTCCCTCCCATCCTCTTCCCCCTTTTTTGTCCGCTTCCGTTTGAGTGGCCTTTCTGCACTTAGTAAGGGCAAGCAGTGAGTAGCCAACAATGTGAAATGTGTACGGTAATGGAAGAGAATGGTGAAGCTTGTAACCCCACAGCTTGCCCTCTCTCCTGCTCCAGACCGTACCAATGTCTGCCTCACTTGTCACAGTTCCCAAGCACACAAACCAAAAACACAAGAAAGCGTCTTCAGTGTTTTATGAGTTTAATTTTCCCTCCCAAACACGAGAACGTTAGTTTCAAGTACAGTTTTCCAATGACACGACATTCATCTTCCTTCTTTTTCCTCTTGTGTTTTATCTAATAGCTCTTGGGAAGAGACCGCTTTCCCGATGTACTTCGTTACCCTGACGAATATTAAAAAAATATTAAAAGCACTACCTGCCACAAGCATTTGGGGGCCCAACACCGATCTAGAATGTCTTCCATGATTCTGGCTAGAACTAGAGTCAGGGTGGAATTCTAGATCAGAGATCTACCAGTAAGGTGTATAAAGGATTCCTTTAGCAAAGCTGGGCAGCTCACAGATGTTGGCAGAAGTTTGCGCCTTCCTTTAGCCCCTCCGGTAGCAGAGGAATGTGTGGTGGGAGGGACCACCATGGACTGGCCTGTTTGCTTGGCAACTTAATTCCAGAGATCCTCCTTCTTCATACCAGATGCAGACTTTTTGCAGGCCCAGCTGGTGGGGAAATTCCCAAACTATCTCCGGCAGTAGTTCCACCCCATGTTGATGGAGGTTGGCTTAAATTTCTGGATGGCACATCGAGATTTTTCATTGCCCTGTTTCCTGTCTACTCTGTGGGAAAGACTACTCACTCATAATAGAGTAGAACGTGTGCGCAGACTACAACTGTCTTCACAAGTAGTGGAGTTTTTTAAAAGACCCAGAAAGAGCTTAACTTATCAGTTATGGGTTAAAGACAGTTTTAATATCTCACCCATTAAGAGCCAGACTTTGCTCCTCTTCTTGTGTGGGCCTGGATAAGAAGAGGGCAGTCATGTGAGAGATAATTTCCTCTTCCTCTTAAGGGGCCAAATTTGTCTCTGGAAGCAGCGGGATTCCCTTCTCTGTGCAAAGGTTGCATGTTCAGCTAGCTCACCTATTGCAAAAAACTGGTTAAAGAAGGAAGCCCCTCTGATGGATCCAGAGTGAGAACGCCACAAGAGTGGAAAGTGGCAAGAGGTCTGTATTCAAGTTTTCCCCATGTCCCTAAAAGCTATCAGCGAGTAAACAACTGGCATTAAAAAATATATAAGCAAGGGTATAAAGAATCTGTACGTAACTACACTGACCAAAGACTCAGCATGTTAGCCAACTGTTGACTTCGTTCTTCAGGCAACAGGCAGCCCAACAAGGGGACGCACTGCCGGAAGCAATGGATAAATTTCCCAGACGTTTTTTATCATCTCAAGTTGATGAAAGACTTCAGCATTTAGACAAAATATGGATTTTTAACACTGGATCCATCGTCCCAGTCGCTGAAGAGACTGCCTTGGCGGGGTGCAGTGCTGGCAGCGTCCACTCGCACCCTCTGACGAGTTTAGACTTTGTAACTCCACAAAGTGTTGGGGAAAAAAATGTATGATATGGACCAAATCAGGAAGTAGAGAGAGGCCAGGAAGGAGGTGTGAAACAGGAGCACCAAGATACCTGCAGTGGCCAAGAGAGAAAGAGTTAAAGAAGCCCCTTGAGGCGAGCCAGATCCTCGGATTCTGGATCCCTCCCTTGGCAACACGCGATGTTTTTGAAAATCTGTCGGCTTTCTGTCTTTAGGCCATCAGACACAACAGTCTTGTGCCTGCAGATCACAGGTGGATTCCCGCTGCAGATCACCTGATTTATGGGGGGTCAAAGTCCCATTAGTCCTGCTCTCTGGAATGTCAGCATACCTCTGCTTTAATCCCCACTCATTAAGGTTTTTTTCCCCTCCCCTCCGAGGAAACGGCAGTTTGTTCAGTTCTATTTACCATAAAGTCTTGCAAGGAAAGGGATTAACTGGAACAACTGGGAATTGCGGAAATTGATATTCAGAAGACATGAGGCAACATCAGTAAAGACCTCACTGTCCCCCTGAATCCAGGTTTGTTTGGACATTTTAAGCACGAAGGGCGCTTAAAAATATTTTTATTTTTCCCCCAACCAAACCCTTTTAGCTTCTCACACCATACAGTCTTTGTTTTTATTTTTTAGCCAGCCATTCTCTCATTTTTCTAATGAGACTGCAGTGTCCCAGATTGGAGCAATCAAATGTTCCTTTAGACCAGGGGTCAGCAATCTGTGGCTCTGGAGCCGCATGTGGCTCCTTCATCCCTGTGCTGTGGCTCCGTGTCGCCAATTGGCTCCACAATTGATAGGGCTTTTGGTTAGGACAGGTAGAGGAAAAAGGATGCGCTAGGAGGAGACTGTAGTAGGGGAACCACCATAGAGACTGGTTGGCTCCAGAATTGAATAGGGGGGCTCTTTGTAGCCCTGGTCAAAAGGGACCAGCAGAGATTATACTACCTGAGAGTTCTCAGAAAACAACACCTGAATGAAAAACTGCTGGTGACCTTCTACCGCTGCACCATAGAGAGTATCTTAACTTACTGCACCTGTGTATGGTTTGCCAATTGCACAGTGGCAGATAGGACAGCACTCCAGAGGGTTAACGTCATTGTCTAGAAGATCATTGGTTGCCCTCTCTCCTCTTTGGAAGAGCTTTATAGCTCCCGCTGCCTTAAGAAAGTTCAAAACATTCTCCAAGATCCATCTCATCCTGGGCACCTTTTTTCTTTTTTTGGAACTATTACCATCTGGCAGACGGTACAGGATAATAAAAACAAGGACAAATAGGCTGAAAAACAGCTTCTAACCCAGGGCAATAGTTCTGTTGAATTCTACCGCCTAGTGCAGTGTTAGTGTAGCGTTGGGGGTTTTTCAATTCAGTGTGTGGAGTGTGAAGGATGTGTGTTTGTGTTTATTTTCGTGGTCATGATGTGTGCTGAAGATGGTGTTCGATTTCGTTGCGCGAGGTGCAGTGATACTAAACTAAACTTTGAGTGTTTAAGGTTGCCAACCCCTGTTCTAGCAAAACAGCTTCTGAACTACTGAAAAACAGCTCAAACTTTTAGAGGTTCTTCGAGGTTCAAATGATGTCCGAATCTCCCATCTGGCTGCAAATAAGCCCTTTTTTTGTAAGGAAGAGAGACAAGCCTACTCTCCTGTAACAAGGGAACTCTTCCACCTCCCTGCTTTCCAGACTGGGCAAGCCAGGGAAGACACTGGACGTACCCAGGAGTGGGATCTGACCGGCACAACCAGTTTGGAGAGCGCGCACGTGCACGTGTCAAACGTGTGCTGCAGACACTTGCACGCTACCAGCTCCGGCCAGCATTTACCTTCTCCAGCTGACGAGCGGCACTCAGCTGTGCCATGCAAAGTAGCTGAGGAGGAAAACGCGGCCACTAAAGGACAGCCTAGAGCCGGGGAGGGCAAGAGGGCCAAACAGCAGACCCCAAATCTCATCCCAGTGAACCTGTTCAGTGTCAGCTGCTCTTCGGGGCTACCGGTTCTATAAAACCAGACCGAACTGGTAGGATCTCAGCCCTGGACCTACCTCCTCCGAAGATGGCCTTCTTCCAAGCCTGGGACTCCAGCACTTTGTCATGGGGATAGAAGCCTTGGTCCACCATGAAAAGGATCATCACCATGGCCATCAGGCGCATGGCCACCAGGTGGCCTCCGGTCAGGAAGTAGGTGGCTGCTACCATGGAAGCGCCGTAGGGACATGGCAAACCCCGGTACATAAAGGGCATCCCTGTGGATGAACAGAAGGGAAGAGAAAAGAGACGCACAAATTCACTGAGGGGCAGACCGTAGTCCTGTGATCCCCCAGCTACACCCCCCCCAAAAAAGGACAGAGTATGTTGTGTCCGTCACAAAGATCTATTTCTGCTGTTGGGCAGGTTAAAATGTCAGCTGGGCGTGTTGAAAAGCGCACCAATTCCTTTATGGAAAGGCAGCATCCAGAACCTTACGAAAACACAGCATCGCGATCCCACTTTTCCCCGTTGAAAAGCACGCTCTTAAACCTAAACAGAGCTTGGCCACGACTACTTGTGGCATCCCAAGGTGGGATAACTTTTCCCCCACACACACCCACCCCCCCCCCCCCCCCCCCCCCCCCCCCATGAGATCTTTCCCCATCCAGGCTCACCGCTGGAGAAGAAACACAGCCGCGTAAACACCGCCAGCACGTAGACGATCACCAGCAATCCGTCAAGGAGTCCGTGGGCCTGCAGAAGGAGGCCCGTGGCCAGGCCAAAGGAGGTGAAGTCTGCAAAGTCGTCCAGTTTAGCCCCTGCAGGCGATGCAGAAAAGGGACATGGTTAGTCTCCGTCCAAGCCAGGATCTGTCAAGTGTCATTTCCCGGGGATAGACGCCTCTGCTTTCATTCATTGAGTGATGCCAAAAAGTAATAATAACCCTTCTCTCCGAGCTTACATGGAGTGGGGGCTTCCAGAAAAAAAGGACTTAAATGGGGAGGGGGAATCAATGCCTCCTACCCAACCTGGTGCCCTCCAGATGCCGACCAAGGAAAAGTAGCCAGGTGGAAAAACTGCAGTCTCAAGGCTAAACAGATTCTCTGTGTTGAGGGGACAACAATGGTATTTGAGGCACTTAAAGACAATGAAATGGGAACCAGGACTTCTTCGGTTTGAAGGAGCTCTTGGCTCCCTAGATAGTAGCCCCAAACTTTTCGGAAGGACCGAGGCGGCCTCTCCAGTTCTCCCGTGGCTCAGGACCTCCCTGAGTGTCCGGTTTCCCCCTCGGAAGAACGCCTCCCTTCAAAGACCTCCTACCGCCTAGCTTGGCTGTTTCTGCATCGTCTGGAGGTTGGCCAGATCTTGGGGATCACCAACTAAAGTGAGTTGGAGGCGAAGGCCCCAAGGGGGATGTGGGGAGGGGACTCACCCAAGGCAGAGCAGGCGTTGAGTTGCCTCGCGACGGCTCCGTCGGCAAGGTCCAGCACGAAGCCCGTGAGGACTAGCCAGCCCGCGTAGTGGTACTGCCTGGAGGAGGGGAAGGAGAAGGTGAAATAGGAGGAGGAGGAGGAGGAAGAAGGAGAAGGAGAGAAGAGAAAGGGAAGGAAGGAAGAAGAAGGAAAGAAAAAGAAAGAAAGAAAGAAAGAGAAAGAAGGAAGGAAGGAAAGAAAGAAGGAAGGAAAGAAAGAAAAAGAAAGAAGGAAAGAAAGAAAAAAAGAAAGAAAGAGAAAGAAGGAAAGAAAGAAGAAGGAAAAGAAGGAAAGAAAGAGAAAGAAGGAAAGAAAAAAGAAAAAGAAGGAAGGAAGGAAAGAAAGAGAGAGAGAGAAAGAAAGAAAGAAAGAAAGAAAGAAAGAAAGAAAGAAAGAAAGAAAAAGAGAAAGAAAGAAAGATTGCTTCTTGTGTCCATAGATGCTCTCCCCGTCTCCCGCCCAGTCCTGCCACCCCACTTGATCTCTGGCCCACTGGATCCGGAAAAGTCTGGGCAGTAGGAATTCTCTCTGTTGTGAATCCAGCTAGATCCCAACCTTTCCTGCAGAGGCAGAAGGATGAGACTGCAGCCTGGCATTGCCAGCACAGAGGCAGCTGAAGTTCAGAGAGAAACTGCGGTGTGAAAATATATGGCCTGGTGGCCACCGTGTCCCACGGTTCTCTCTGCAGTGGCACCAGAGTGGTGCTGAGGCCCACTTCTGGGATCTTTTCAACCTGTCTGGCGTTGATCCCTCCTTGAACGGAGAGCCACAGCGGCCAAGAAGCAGAGCTCCGGGCCAACCTTCCACCTACCCGTTAAGGCTGCAGAGGACGGAGGAGAGGCCCATGAGAAGGTTGGCCATAGAGATAGAGTTGGCCGCATTCTTGCGCAGGAACTCGACAGCTTGCGCACGGCCTGCCTGCTCACTCAAGAAGAGCTTCTTGGTGCATTGGAAGATTCCTGGAAGAAGACATCAGAAGGGGCGGATTGAGAAGCTGAGAGGATCCCTCCCCAGGGCAGCTGCAAAGAAGAAGTCCTTCCGTCCCATCCGTGCTCTGAGCTCCCTCTTGGTTCCAAACGGGAGAAATTACGAGATGGACAAGGCCAGCTGTGTTCAGCCTGCGTGGCCCAGACGTAAGCACCCCCTGCATATGGCAGAAACACGCAGAGGGAGACGGGCCCTGCATTCAAGAGCCCAGCTCTTCCCCAAGGGCCTCTGCCCCCACCATGGTTAGTTCATCCAGTCCACATGTGTTATACCGGTGCCTGCCACAAGGCTGCGCACGCAGGCAGGCAGCCAGGTCATCACCCTCTGAAGCCTTCACTCCGGTGGGCGACAGGGCAAGCCCGCCTGGCAGAAGAGGTGACTGGCTGGGTTTCAGCCAGGAGGACAGGTGTTGACTCAACCCTGGGACTTGAGGAGGCAACGGGTGATCCACTGCCTGCATCACCCGCGACCTGGATTCTCCGCCTCATTGGAAACCTGCGGGCAGCTGCGGGCCAGAGGATTTCATGCGGCTCCAGATAACAGATCGGAGAAGTGGAGGGCTGTGCAGAAAGCACAGGTCAAGGGGTCCGGGGTGGGGGTGGGGGGAGGGGCAGGAAGCAGCCCCTCAATTTCATTCAGGGCCTCATCAGTCCAAAGATAAAGGTCAGAGGTCAGGGAGGGTGAGACCAGAGGTGGTCTTCAGCCGGTTCTGACTGGTTCTGGAGAACCGGGAGCGGAAATTTTGAGTCGTTCGGAGAACCAGCAAATCCCACCTCTGACTGGCCCCCATCTCTTCTCTGCCTCCCACTGAGTCCCAGCTGATCGGCTGGATCTTCTTTGGCTGCCCTACCCAGGAGAATGGAGCTGGAAAGTAGGTTAGTGGGGTGGGCAGGGAATGGGGGTTTTGAAGTCTCCTTCCCCTGCCAGGCCCACCAAGCCGATACTACTGGCTACCACAGAACCGCTAGTAAAACATTTGAATCCCACCACTGGGCAAGACCCCTCCCCGCAAACAAAGCCAAACAGACCTCATTTCTTCACCATATCAGTGTGTGCATTGGCTGGTTCGTTTTAGTGCCCAAAGGCAGCAGCTATAATCACTTTAAAAAGGAGCAAAGTTCAAATCAAACATCCGTTCCGGCTATTTTAAGCTTGCAAGAACAATTTGCATCCCAATCCAAATTCCAGGGAAGCTGCGGAGAGCTGGATGCCTCTTGTCTGAGTGCTGAGGTTTTCCCTCTTTCTGTTCCTATGCCAAACATCCAGCTTTCCAAGCGGGGTTAGTTGCCACGAAGCAACAAACCACCATGTTATGAATTTATTTACCAGCTTTGGGGGCTCACCATCTTGAGACGGCCACACTCAATGAGCTGTGTTCAAGCATCAGACTTAGCCAGGGCAAGGGGTGGACACAGCAGTTAAGTTCTTGCCATCAAGACCGTAAACCTGGCTGGTACCTGCCAGAGGTGCTTAGGTTGGCTCCTCAGGGAAGATACCCATCGTTCTGACCCAAACCTTGTTCCAAGGAAACAAACAGAGGTAACAGCAAAACCTTTCTAATGATTCTTTATGAATTCTGCTCCTTCACGGTTAAAAGGCTACTAAAACTAATGGTTTCTGATAAGAACGGGCCTTGCCAAGGTGGTGCAAGGCTGCCAAGAACACTAGATAAAATTGCCAAGAAATATTTCAAACAGAAAGTTTCCAAACACAAACTTAAGATATTCCAAGCGTCCATAAGGCTTGAGTGCAAAAACGTCTTTGCTTCCTGCAAAGAACTCCGGTTTCTCAGCTGGCTTTCATCCCTTAAGGGAGGGGCCATCACCTTGCAGCCTTACTCCCGAGTCGCCCGTGCTGCTGCAGCTGCCCTTTCCTTCGAGCAACCCTACGCGCACTGAGCACAGGCTCCTCGGGGACCTCTTCCTCACTGCTGCCAGCCTCCACAATCTCCACTCCCTGATGGTCCTGGCCCCATCCCTGCATCCCACGCAGGCCCCTCATCCGAGTCCTCGCTCTCCGAGACCTCAGCGGTCCACACCTGCTGCCGGCGGACCACAACACCCATATCAGGATAGGCAGGAGGGAAAGGAGATGGGAAGAAAGCCAAAGACCACCCACCAAAGGGTCTTTGGGAGGGTCCCGGGTTGGATATAGTCTGGGTGTTTTCTTTTGGACTGGCAGCATTCTATGGGGAAAAATAACCAGGCGTGTTTTCTGCCCTCCTTGCAGCACCGGGCTGAGATTGTGGCACCCTGGCAGCCCTGCAGAGCCGGGAGAAACGGGCCCCCGCCTGCTTTAGAGGTCGCTGCTGGCATCCAAGGACGGGTCTCCTCAGGGCAATGGAAGCGAGAGGAAGCGGGCGCCACGGATCAAAGTAAGTCTCGTGTGAGCTTTAGGGTGCTGAGATTGTCCTCTTACACTTTGTGGACCCAAAGGGGCCCCCCGCTGCCTTTGGGGTGGCTTCCCTTCTGGCTTATTTGCCCCTCTGGTCCCCAGTTTTTTTGGGGTGGGGAGGAATTGAGCCCCATTGGAGGCCAGACGTCGGAGGGAGAGAGGAGCCTGGGGTGGCGGAAGGGAAGAGGTATCAGCTCTATATCTGACTTACCAGAATGGGGAGATGCTATCCACATTGTGGTCGTCGTTCAGCCGGAAATCCCTGCCCTGCTGATGTCCCTGAAATTGAAGGGGGCGGGTGGGGGGGGGCGTTAGAGGCCTGCCTGCCTCTTGGCAGAGGGAGCCATGAAAAACAAAGCACAGTGGAGTTTTCTCTTGCTTGTAAACAATGAGCAAGAGTCACTTTCCCGGCAGGCCAATAGTTCTAGCATTTTCCCCCCTGCAAGCGTCGGTCAATCGCGTTTTGGCAGCGAGGTTTAAGAAGAGGCAGGGATGAAGAGAGGGTGGGGCGGAGGAAGCCCAAAAGGGACCCTACCCCTTCCGAAATAAGATGGATCACGGAATGGGGCTGAAGCCAGTTTCGTCTCATGGGGAAAAAAAAAAAACAACCCCAGGCGATGGTGAGTTCTAGTCCAACCTTGGCCCAAAAAGACCCCCCTGGGTGACTTTGGGTCAGTCTATCCTTTCAGCCCAACTAACCTCACAGGAAAGGCGTTTTAGGCTACAAGTCGAAGGAGGACGGAGGGTTAGGTATCTTTCCCACGTCGAGTTATTTCTAAAAGAAAAAAGAAAATACAGGCAGGATTAAAAAAAAATACCTGAGGGGCGTAGTGGCTCAAGGGCTAAGATGCTGAGCTTCTCCGTCAGAAAGGTCGGCGGTTCGAATCCCCAACGCTGCCTAATGGAGTGAACTCCCGTTCCTGGTCCCAGCTTCTGCCAACCTGGCAGTTCAAAAGCATGTAAAAAAAAAAATGCAAGTAGGAAAATAGGGACCACTTTGGTGGGAAGGGAACAGCGTTGCATACGCTTTCAGCGTTTAGTCCTGCCGGCCACATGACCACGGAGACGTCTTCGGACAGCGCTGGCTCTTCTTCGGCTTTGCGACGGAGATGAGCAGCGCCCCCTAGAGCCGGAAACGACTGGCACATAGGTGCGAGGGGAACCTTTACCTTTAAAAACACCTTTTTAAAAAAAGAACCAGCAGAGTTCATCCCATGGAGCACGCCACTGGCTGCTGAATTGGAGGAGCATGAACGTTGCCTGTCCCTGCTGTTGGGAGGAGGGCAACTGGCACATGGCCTGGAGGGCAGGCTGAGCCTTCGGGTTTGCTGACGAGGTTCCCGGCCACTGACGGGGACGGTTTTTATTTTTGTTTTTGGAAAGACTGGGTGGGGATTTGACTTAGGGCCTGCCCCCACGCTCTGCGCTCTCTTGCCCTCACCACTCTCTTCCACTGCGAACAAACAGTCTGGATTGTGCCCGAAGGGTGAAGACATTTCTAGCGTATGCCACAAAGGCGGTTTCTAACTTAACTCGGTTCGGTGACCTGTACCGACATTCTGTGCGGGGTCTCATGGTGGGGGTGGGGGAATAGGGGGCCAAAGCATTTCAACGTGCCTGAGAATTGGATGCTGGGCTAAATTGGAGCCAGGATTCTCCTTCCGGCAGGTCTGTGGCACGAGGAGGACGGAGGGAGGGAGGGACAGAGGGTCCCTGCACGCCAAGGGTCTTCCAACTTGGCATGTGTAAGACTTGTGGACTTCAACCCCCAGAATTCCTGAGCTAACATGGACTGGAGGAAGAGGAATCCTGGGAGTTGAAGTCCACAAGTCTCAAAGCTGCCAAGTTTGAAGACCCCTGGAATAGATAGAGGAAAAGAGGTAGGGTGGGTAGGTAGGTAGGTAGGTAGGTAGGTAGATAGATAGATAGATAGATAGATAGATACTGTAGATCAGGGGTCTTCAAGCTTGACAGCTTTAAGACTTGTGGACTTCAATTCCCAGAATTCCTCCTCCAGTCACATTAGCTCAGGGATTCTGGGAGCTGAAGTCCACAAGTCTTAAACTTGCCAAGTTTGGAGACCCTTGGATTAGATAGATAGATAGATAGATAGATAGATAGATAGATAGATAGATAGACAGACAGACAGACAGACAGACAGGCAGACAGAATAGATCAAGGATCTTCAAACTTGACAGCTTTAAGACTTGTGGACTTCAACTCCCAGAATTCCCGAGCTAACATGGACTGGAGGAAGAGGAATCCTGGGAGTTGAAGTCCACCAGCCTCAAAAAGCTGTCCAGTTTTGAAGAGCCCCTGCTGTACCGCTCAGCAGGCAGGGGCAAGAGGGGAGGGTGGGAGGACCAATGCCAGCTGGGATGCTACCAGCCGGGAAGAGGGGTTGGGTTTAAGTCTCCAGACCCGCCTCCCCCCCACCCCCGCCTCCCCAACGAGAGAAGTGGGCAGGCATCCCAGGATGAGGAACTTGAGCATCGGGGCACTCTGGGCTCACGAGCATCCTGGCACCACTTTCCCCTGGCCGGATCCCCCTGCCAGCTGACGCCTCCTGCGCTTCTGCACTCCGGGGTCGGCGGGTTTAGGGAGAGACGGTTCCCAGAAGGGAGGAGGCTCCTGGCTCTCAACTCCCTGCCCTCGTCGCCTTCCCCTCCGGGGATCCGAGGGGAGGAAAGGAAGCCTGGGGAGGGGGAACCCCGGGGGAGACTCCTGGGCAGGTGCAGAGCCACCCCGTCGCCCGGATCTCAGCCTGCAGAAGTCGCCCCCCTCCCCAGCACCGCCGCGGGGATGTGGTCCGCTGGAGGGGTCTTCCCCGCCCCGGCCGCCTCCCCCGGCTCGTCCAGCATCCCCGCTGGAAGTTTTAACGGAGGCCGCGGGAGCGCCTGAAGATGCCCCCGCTCCAGATCTCCCTGGCAGGGAAGGATCCCGGGGCACGGGCGCCGTCGCGGCTAGACTGCTCCCGAAGCAGGTGGAAGCCCCACCGCCGGCCGGCCGCCCGCTTTCTGCGGCGTCCTCCCAGGCTCGGACCGCCTCCCGCGGGTCCCGCCCGCCCGCCCGACGCACCTCCCTCTCTCGCGCTTACCTTCCGCCGCGCTCCGCAGCCGCCCCGCTCCCTCGCCGCCCGACGCTTTTATGCTGCGCATCTCGCCGCCTCCGCCGCCGCGGCCGCTCCGGAAAATTCCACTCGGAGGGACGGGGCGGAGCCCGCGGCCCCACCCCCGAAGCCCCACTCCGTCCCCCGCCCTCGCGGAGGATCCCTCTCCGCGCGCCCCCACCCAAAACTCTTGGTCCCGTTTCAGCACCCGGCCAGGTCGGGCGGGACGGGGCGAAAGGAAGCGACTTTGCCCCCTTTCCCCCGTTCCTCTCCTTCTGGCTCCTGGCATTGCCCGCTTGCAAAGCGCCCGGCCATGGCACCTCCCCGCCTTTCCTCCTTGCCCTAATGATGAGTTCTCCCCGCTGAGGCAGCCTCTGGAACCCAGAGCCTTGCAAGTGGAAAGGTTGGGCACGGCTTAGGCTACCTTGCGGCTTTTCAGTGCCTGCCCCGGTTGCGCCATTCTTGTTAGGGTTCTCTTTTATTTAAAAAAAATAAAATAAAAGAGGAAGAGCAGGCAAGGAAGAGTAATCAGGACGATGAAGGGACTGGAGGCTAAAATGTACACAGAGGCAGGAACTGGGCCTGGCTAGTCTAGGGAAGAGAAGGACCAGGGGAGACAAGGGAGCAGCCTTCCAAGATTTGAGGGGCTGCCCCAGAGAGGAGGAGGAAGGGGTCAAGCTATTCTCCAAGACACCAGAAGGCCAGACAAGGAATAATAATGGATGGAAACGGATCCAGGAGAGATTCAACCTGGAAATGAGGAGGAATTTTCTGACAGGGAGAACCATCAAGCCATGGAACAGAAGTTGCCCTCGGGAGTTGTGGGAGAGTCATCACTTGAGACTCTCGAGAAGAGATTGGACTTCCCTCTGTCAGGAATGGTGTAGGGTCTCCTGCTTAAGTGGGTGGGGTGGGGGTTGGACTAGATGACCTACAAGGTCCCTTCCAACTCTGTGAACACTGGGTGCCTTAGCACCACTCCCTCTGTCTAAGAGAAACGGAGAGTAGACAACCATGCCTCCCCTGAATTCTCACGGACGTGGCATGCTCTGCCCCACGGCCCCTCTCCTGGCATTAAGAGGGCACTTTTGCTAGGGCCGGGTCTTTCTCTGTCGTCCCTGATAAGACGGCACGCTGGAGAGCGGTGTGGTTCAGTCAAGGCTGGATGCTTTGCAACCCCCCCTTTTTTTTGCCAGGATAAGGATCCACGTGTGGCGTCTTTACCCAAAGCAGCAGTCAGGATGATTCCAAATTATGCCTACCACCCCACCCCACCCCGCTCCTCTGGGATTATTGTGCCTCCTTCTGAGAGGAGGGTGACGGGCAGGCGAGGTGGCCCAGGGTTGGCAACCTCCTTCCCCTGCTCAGAGGCTCTGGCCGTGGGCAGGTCCGTGGAGGGCAGGACCACGGCCAGCTCCGCAAGCTCCCATGAAGAGGCCTCCACTCCAGCCAGGCCCTCGCAAGGAGCTCCCATCCACAAGGCCCAAAGGCAAGGCGAGCCCAGAGAAATGCAGGGAGCTTGGAGCACCTGAGAAGGCAGGACAATAAGGGATCAGGGGTCCCCAAAGGTGCCACCTTTAAGACCTGTGGACTTCAACTCTCAGAATTCTCCAGCCAGCAGCTTTCTGACTGCGTATTCAGAACCCGGTTGCTTCTTTGTCTCGGTCCCCATCAGGCCACAGCTTGGCCCGGTCTTTTCTGGCTGGGCCTGGTGAGCGGGTGATGGATGGAGAGTTCAGAAGAGAGGGTGACTGGGGTTCTGTAACCCCCTGAACTAGCACTGGGTCTCGGGATCGTGTGGAGGGTGCCTGGACTATTTCTAGTCTCTGTTCTGCAACACGTGTCCTCTGTGAGAACAACGGAGGTAATAAAGACAGTCCCAGAAGGCAGAAATCCATTTCCTGGACTGGCTGGGCGTAATTTATTTTATTTATTTTTATTGATTTGGTTTGATTTGTCAGTCACTTACAAAAGAATAGGTATCAGTCTAAACATGAGGAAGAATACAGAAAATAGGTACGATTAAATGGGGACAATAGGACAGGGACGGGAGGCACGATGGTGCACTTATGCATGCCCCTTACAGACCTCTTAGGAATGGGGTGAGGTCAATAGTGGTTAGTTTGAGGTTAAAGGAGTGGGGGTTAGAGGATGTAACAACAGAGTCAGGTAGTACATTCCAGGAACTGACCACTCTGTTGCTGAAGTTGTACTTTCTGCAATCAAGTTTGGAGCGATTAACATTGAGTTTGTATCTGTTGTGTGCTCTTGTATTGTTGCGGTTGAAGCTGAAGTGGTCATTGACTGGTAGGACATTGCAGCAGATAATTTTGTGTACTATGCTTAAGTCCAACCATAGGCGGCGTAGTTCAAGATTGTCCAAGCCCAAAATTTCAAAGTCTGGTGATATAGGGTATTCTGTTACGAGCAGAGGAGTGTCGTAGTCTTCTCGTGAAATACTTCTGGACTCGCTCAATTGTATTTATCTCTGATATACAGTGCGGATTCCAGACAGATGAGCTGTATTCGAGTATTGGTCTGGCAAAGGTTTTGTATGCCCTAGTTAGCAATTCAATAGCCTGTTGCGGTCTATCAGGCATTAGGATGAAAGAGCCGTGGTGCTGCAGTGGTTAGAAAGCAGTACTGCAGGCTAATTCTGCTCACTG